CCTGGAGGGTGTGTTTAGTGCTGTGGTTAAGGCGAGGGGCCCAGGAGAGCCACGGTTAGCTCTTCCGGTGGTTGTAAGGATGAACTCAGATAAGGAATCTAAATCATAGCACAGTGACTGATACTGAGTAAGGATATCCTCTCTCTTCTCTCTCTTTCTCTTTCTGTGCTGCCTCTGTCTCTCTCATCTGTGTATCTATTAATCTTGAAAGGATCACAGAATTCAAATCTAACACGGAACAAAGATAACTATATTGAAATCACTTGAGAGATGATAATTGAAGAAGTTTCTTTCCTGGAGAAGAAGAGCAGGAGACAACTAAGGTCTCTATTGTTGCCAAGGGTCCTACAGGGAAGTCGGCAAAGGGGAACACACTGTCGACCCATCCACAATTTACTACAGAGGTGTTGGGCTGCAACGCTCCGTGGAGAGTTCTTGCTTAATGGAGAAGGACAGGCAGCAACACAGAGCTCCGGAGTCTGACCTGTCCTTCACCGCAGGCCAGGCAGGTCTGCAGGCACTGGGTCCTTTCTTCTGGATCCCAGACTCTGGTCTGAGCCTCTGCCTGAGGTCTTACCATGCAAATGTAATAAAAGGCAAAGTAGACCAAACCCAAGAGCAGAGCTGACCCCCCAACACCATCGCTCTAGAAGCCAATGCCCATATTATTATAACTGCCATTTGGAGTTAAAGAGAGAAAGAAGGAGAGAGAGGAAGGAAGAAATCAGGAGGGAAGGGAGGAAGAAGAGTGTGATTTTATGATCAGCTCTCTCATGTGCTTACAAGAGCTCTCCTGTACCCCAGCGACTTTGCCTAATTATGTCCTTCCTGTGAGCCTCTCAGAGCCACCATCCCGGCAGGGTATGCGAATGGTGCAAGAAGCAAGGTTCACCTCGTGCTATCCACAAGCCACAGAGGGGTGGAAGTGAGTAGTTCAGAGACACAGAAGAGCAGTGTGTGGACAGGAAGAGAAAGTGGGCAGGGATGATAAGCATGGGGAACAGAAAGTGGAAGGGGACCAGGGTGCACCCAAAGCCAAAGAGAGGATGGGAACAGGGCAGCAGGGGCTGAAGAAGCACAGTTGCTCCAGGGGGCCACCTCTGCCACTTAGGTGAAGTAAGCGTCACTCAGGATCGATGCTGGGTGGACATCTGTCTAAAGCCCCCAAGGCTCCAAGAGGTGCTCTTGGACCCACCATCTTGATTTAAAATTTGGGTGACCCCAGGAAAAAATGATTTGGCATGAGCACCGTATGCCAAGACAGCTGGACACCAGATTAGAAGCTCCAGGCATTCCCTCGTCACCACTAGTCATCTCTGGAGCAGACCCCTGTGTGGGGCCAAGGACGTCATCATCCATCACCACAAGCAAACAGCAGTTATTATGGTGTTTGCTATAAAATGACCTTGTAACAAAAAATGATAACAGAAAATAACTCCTATTGGTTTTGTTTCTAGCAATAAAAAAATTGCTAAAGCCCTTGGCATATGATTTAGAGCTTGATATTTTTTTCCCCATGGCTTGATTCAAAGTTTACCTCTCAGGACATAACATTTAAAACCCTAAGCACCTGGAGGTTTGGTCCAGGAAGAAGGGTCCTGATGTGATGCAGAAAATCAACTTCTGATGCCTGCCCCACCTTTCCTACTTTGTGACCTTAAGCCTATAACAGCTTCTCTGAGCCACAGTTTTCTCCATAATAAGTGAAATGGAAGATATATCTCCTGGATCTTGCCCAGGCTTGTGGTGAGAAGCAAAAGAAATAAAAGGCAGAGTGTGATCTGGAACATAAATGAACTGGTTAGAAACACACAGAATATATTTGACCATTTGTTCCTACATCTCTCATTAAACTCTGCTAGTTCTTAGTAGCAGTCCGTGCTGCAGCCAACCTTCCATCTGAAAGACCACTTTGGGCAAATGCTCTCAATAACGTATGTAGTTAGTAACAGATTCAAACATGTTCCTTCGAGATCTAATAGTTTATGCTGAAAAAAAAATTAGGAACTTTGAAACAACAAAGGTTTATTTCTTGCTCTCATTGCATGCTTATCACTGGTTTCCACTCCTGCCAATCTCATTGCATGCTTATCACTGGTTTCCACTTCTGCCAATCACCTGGGGCTGGAACCAATGGAGGCCCCCCTGTCCCCAGGCTGGTCACCACACCTGAGGAATGCTGTTCTAGGGTTCTCATGTCTGTAATTGAATGCCCAACCAGAAGTGACAACTCTCACTTCCACGCAACAATTTATTGGCCACAGAACTGACCAGGGAAGATCATGCTACCTGGAAATCAGAGAAATGAAAGCCTTTGGAGGGCAGCATTGTTAGGAACCACCCTGTATCCATTCATAGAGATTCAACATTGGACACAGGTGGTGTTGACAGAGGCAACGTCTGTCTGCATTGTATAACGAGCGTTCACTGAGCACCTCCTAGCCATCAGAAACAGCGCCCAGCACAGGGGATGCAAACCTCAGACAAGTTCCGTGTCCTCAGGTGACACACTAGAAATACCCACTGGACATTTCTGTGCACCTCAACCAGCCACTTCATACGGTCCGTCCGAGGGCAGAGGAATGCATTCCTGGAGGTGGCGGGTCCTACTGGAGCAGTTGTCAATAAAGAGACTGGGGATGAAAGGGGCTCTGGGAGATAAGGGCAGCACAAAGCAAGGTGCAGCCTCCTCCAGCGGGGACTTGGTGCTAGAGCATCAGATGGGAGCCAGGATGGTCAGAAAGAGAGTCTGCATGAAAAGAGGACCCATCAGGAGATGGGGACAGCAAGGGGTTGGGGGAGAGACCTGCTATTGGACATAGGAAATAGGAACAATGGACAACACACTCGCATGTCTGAGATTCACCGAATTAGTATGTACAGAGAACGCTGGCCCTGGACGCTGGAGTCTGGCCAGGATTGCGGAAGTATGGACCCTGTTCGCAGTGGGGGGGTTCCCGCCTCTCCCAGCCAGGCCCAGCCTGCTCTGCCAGCTGAAGTGTCAACATGGGCGGCTCCTGACTGAAGTCCAGGCCGACAAAGGACACTGTGCACCCAGGGGACCTGAGCAGGGTCCCCTCTGTTTGCCTCCCAGAGGCCTTCCGTTTCTGGAAGCAGCTGGTGGAGGGTAGGCGGGCTCTGAGCTGCAGGCAGGCTGTTTTCTGCTGACTCACCTGCTGGGCTCTGGCTGGTATGCGAGGCCCTAGCCCAAGGAGCCCGCTCCCAGAGCTATTCTGTTTTGGGGGTGGGCCGGGGAGGGTGGTAGTCTTTTCTTTTAAAAGGGTGATCAAAAGCCTCCAGTGAAACAATAGAGGTTGTTTTATGGGTTTGGTGGGCTGTGTGCCAGCGCTTGGCCTGCCAAAGCATGCCAGCAGAGGAGGGACTCTTGTCTCTGGGCTCCTTGCCATGAATTTGCATCAGCCCTCCATAGAAGGAGGCAGCAGCCTGGGAGGGCTTGGGTTCCCATCTGATTTTTCACGTCGGAGAAATGATGTACCTTCAGTGGAGATTTGGAGACTCACAGCTTCCACAACTATGCACCCTGGGTAATAATGCTTGCTGGCTTCTCAAAGCAGTTGGTATGTGCCAAGCTCCTCTCCAGGACTTCAAAGCACCCTCTCATCCAGTCCTTACCAACTGGTAAACTAGGTTCTCTTCTTATTCCTGTCTCACCTATGAGGATAGCAACTCTCAGAGAGGTTAAGTTGCTGGCATGGGGTCACACAGTGGTGGGTGGTAGAGAAGATAGCCTGATGCCAGGACCCGTATCCTGAGGGGTATGGTTTCCAGGGGGCTGAGGGGACTCATGGGACGCATGCATCAGCAAGTCTTACATAGAGCAGGTGTGCAAGAAATGACCTCCATTGCTGTTATTGCTACTAACTAGTCCTTTGAACAAACAGACAACAGCCGTGAACAACCCCACTACGTTGTCTTGCGAAGCTGGTTTTATTCATAGAGGGCAGGAGAGCAGGGACCCCAGGGACATGGACACACTCTGCCTTCCTACTTTGCCCTGGTTCTATGTGCTTCTGGACTATCTCAGGCTGACCTTGTTTGCGAGCCAAATGACCTTCAGTCTCTATATCCTCATTTCATGGTTTAGGACTCAAGTGTGTAGGTCGTAGAAATTTCACAAATTCCAGACAGGCTTACGGCATTTAAAGTGCAGCTAACAAATATGTAACGCCTGCCTTTTTTTTTTTTTTAACCTCCGTGTGGGTCAGAGACGATTCTCAGGGAGCAAGAACTTTGCTAAAGCAACCGGGATCTGGGCCAATTTGCTCGCCAGCTTGTGACCCGATAATACCAAAGCTGCTCAGGGTGCTTTGGAGGGTGTCCTGGGAGAGAGCTTTTCTCTTCTGCCTGTCTCTCCTCCCAGACCATGAGAAACTGGCCTTGGCTGCTGACACCCACTGCACTTTCTTCACTTGGTTACCATCACAATCAAATTACAGAGCAAGCAGGTGCTGATGAGGCCTGTCACTACACAAAATTAATTAAAAAAAATTTTTTTTTTAAAAAGGAAGTGACCCAGTTTCCTGAGGCTTGTCCCTCCGGGGGGCTCTGAGCATGCCCTTCCCCCTGCAGTGCATCAGAGAGTGATGTCAGTTCACTCTGCAAGCCACAGAGAGAGAGAGACACACATGGGCTGGCGAGATCTGCAGTGAGCAGCCTGGGAGCTCAGTGCCATTTGGGCTCCTGTCCCCGCTACCATCGAGACCATTAATCTTCAACCTATGGTGGAGCCTTCTCAGGGCTCTGAGTTTTCTTGTTGTGTTTTGTTCAGCAAGGCGTTCAAGATTCCTTCACAGAAATCTGTGGTGGGGCCGGGAAATGCTGTGTGAGCTATGTCCTCGTGAAGTCACCATCTGGCCAATATTCATCTTGCTTAACGAAATACCAAGGATGTCCTTCAGCACAGATGCTGCAGGGCCAGAACACAGCACACAAGTGACCGCAGCCATAAACCAACATGCAATCAAGTGTAATTAACGCACCTGGTGCCCGCGCCGGCGTTCCAATCCCTGGCTCCAAGTGGGATGGCTTCATTTTTCATATGTGGCTTTTGTTGTTTTCCTCTTAGGGTCGGGGGGAGAGGTTTGCCGCTTCAATCAGCCCCAGTATCTCCTGCAGTAAATAAGCCACCGTCGAGTCACGGGGGCTGGTGCAAATAGGAGTGTTTGCGCGCGCGGTCAAGAGGCTGCATCACGTGCAAACAATACAATACTGAGTGGCTTTCCATGTTGTGAAAGGGCCATTGTCCCGGGAGTGTGGAATCTGCCCTGCTGTTGGTGCCCGCAGGATCCAGACCCACTACTGCCCTACATGGGCTTGTGCACCAGATGGAAGAGCAAAGGCATCCCAAGCTTAGAAAAATAAAAGACAAAAGCTCCAAGCAGTCCACCCTGATTCTGCTGTCAGAATTCCCCAGCTTCCCTCCTTCCCTTCCAGGCCTGCCCTGACTTTGCCGGGGTTTTGGTGATGGGGAAGGTGAAGTGTCTTGCCTCTGTGAAATGGAAAGTCGCAGGCTCTCTCTTTGGACAGCAATCAGCAAAGGTTAGCACACAGGGTCAGGGTGGCGGGCAGAAGTTTCAGAGGGGCCAGAGTAACTGTGATGTCTCTGACCCCCAGAGCCCACTTATAGTCCGAGGGCCATGCAAGGAGTGGAGCAGGGGAGTCAGGCAAAGCCTGAACCTGGGGTTCAGGGACATAGAGAAAGAGACCCGGTCTCCTTTGCAGTGTTCCTGCTCTGTCCAGAGCAGGGGCATGCTGCTCCCATGGTGACCTTGCACAATCTGGGGGCATATGGAACTCCGGCCTCATCCTCTTGTGTCACTTGTACACTATTTAGAAATTGCAAAATTGCAGGCAGCAATTAAAGGTTTCAAAGGCCCTTGAGTGTCGTTAGGGGCTTGTCACTGCCTTTCTCTGAGCTCCAGGATGAATGACTCCCAATTGTCTCCTATCAAATTAAAGCTCCTTATCATAGGCTGTAGCATCCTCTGCTAATTGGCTCCTGCTTACCCAATTCATCTTTTATTCTAAAGCACCTTGTCCCATGTCTGGGAGCCATCTCCGAAGCCTTCTAATTGCCAGCACTCTTCAAATCAATTCTATTCAACAGATGTGCCTTGCATTTCTTCTCCAGTGTCAGGCCCTGATACAAGGGGTGGCAGGAAGGTATATGAGCCAGAGGACCCAGGCATTACGGTATAGGGCAGCTTTCGGTAGCGCCTGGGAATGGAAGGCAGTAGTTTGAGCCTTGGTTTAAATGTAGGTGCTGAATCATCTCAGGCAAGTTACTTAAACCCTCTGAGCCTTGGTTTGAGATGCCTGGAGGTAAAATGAGATATTTATGCAGAACTACTGTAAGAATTTAGTGTGGATTTCATTCATCTCTTGTCTCTCATCTGCTAATCTCTATATATCTCACTTATAAATGTTTCACACACGCATACACACACGCATACACACACACACACACACACACACACACACACACACACACACACACACACATCCCTGAAGATCTGTTATCATTTTCACTGGCTCCAGATGGGGCATGAAAGAGCAATAGTCAAATAGTCACCTCTGCCTGCAGAAATCTGCAAAGCCTTCCTAGAAGGGAAGAGACTGGAGCCAAGTTTTTCTTCTTTGGCAGACCTCAGAGTGGGGGACGTTTAGGTGGCTCTAGAGAGGCCGTGGGTGGGGGTGCACAGCCCCCAGGCCCACCTCATCTGACTTCAAGATAAGCCTCCACCTGTGGTGCTGGGCCATGCTGTCCTCCATGCTTCTGAAACTCTCCTTTTCTGTTCTACTTTACCTTCCAAGTTCAAGTGAGCCCGAGCACCCCTCAGGGCTGGCCAAACATCCTATGTCACCTGTCTGTGTTCGGCTGGGAAAGTCTTCCAGGATGGGGGCCTCGACTGGGATTTCCCCACAGCCACATTTCAACAGCCCTTTGCCTACAAGAGCACTGTTGCTTCTCAGTAGGCTTAATTAGTGGATGGGAAAGGGGACAGGGAGGAAGAGGCTGGGGGTGGGGAGCAAAGGACCTCTTGTTCTCAAGCAGATGCAGAGGGAGAGGTGCAGCCTAAAGAGAACCTTTATTTCCCCAAGTGAAAGAGCCCATTGGGTTTATACTGGTGTGTTCTCCTGAAAGGGCCTGGAGTCTCTATAGCTGCCCACCTTCCCTCTCCTCCCCAGGTAAATGAAGCCCCAGTGGGGGCCCTTTTCACCAGCCACAGGGTGCTGATGTCACCTCTGGGCCCCCTTTATCAGAAGGTGGGTACATGGTGGTAACCTGCACAGCTCCAGTGAGAAGCCTCAGAAAACCCTGGAAGGAGAATCTCTGCTTGGAGAGATTGACACTTGCCCTGCCAGTAAGTGACTGAGCTGGGATCACACTGAGACTTTTCTGACACCAAGTCCATGCTCTGTCCACCAGCCCAACCAAAAAGGACGTCCATCCTGCTCCCAACTCGGAGCACCACGATGTCACTAGAGAAAAGCATGGGACCAGGAACGACATGGGGAACAACCCCAGGGTTGGAGCTTTCAAGATTCAAACTTGAAAAGTGAAGGGCAGAGTCACCACAGAGGGCTGGGGGTGCAGGGGTGACCCCTTGTGTGGTGGGTGGATGCTGTGTGGGGTTAGAATTGGGTCTAGACAACCAGGGAGAAGAAACAGGGGTGTTGGAGAGAGGGTGCGACAGCAATTAGCATCATTCAGAATGTACTTAGGAGCATGAGCAAGCACAGATCTGTGAGCGTATAGAGGAGAAAGAGGAGCAGGGCTCTCGACTAGCATGATGTGTTCTGTCCCTTTACTTACATCCGAGGTGTCCGGGAGGCACCCGGGCTCCACCAGTTTTAATCTACAAAGTCTGGCTGTTAACACCCACACCAGTGTCTCCATTGTCCCTGCTCCATGCAGAATTGCCCAGGGCAGGGCTGCTAGGTGTTTCCCTCTCTCCTGAAGCCTCTTTCTCCTCTTCCTCCTTCTCTTCCCTGCCTTTGCATGGGGGGGGACCTCCATCAGAAAGTGGGGGAGCCCCGCCTGCCCTCTTTCTGCAGCCTGCAGCAGTACTGTTGGGTCTTCCAAACTTAAACCTTCAGACTCTTCCCAGAGGAATCCCGCCCCACAGGTAAAGACTGCCCATTTATCTTTTCCACCTGTCTCTTTGTATAACTTCACCAGGGCATTATCCCCATAGAATCCTGTCCGTTTATTTCCTTGGTATTAATGAATAGTTCCTCCCCACAAAGGGCGAGAGGAGGAGGAAAAAGTTGTTGACAGACAAAGGACAATTATGAAAAGCCTTGAAATGGGGAGACATCCCTGGCTTCCCCAGGCTGAGTGGACAGGGGTCACACTTGGCCACAAGCTCAGCTGGTGCGCCTGCAGGGTTGGGTGTGATTGATTTGTTTGTGTTCCTCTCAATGGACTCTGAGCTTACAGGACTGGCCCCCTCCTTATTCATGTTCCATGAAGATGCATAGTAGGGCCTCTGTAAGCACTGGGTGAGTTGAACACATAATATAAGGTATGGTAGTCTCATAAGAGTGTTGCCTTAGGGCTTAGGCATTTCACCTCCAGCCGTGTGGACCCTCCATCAGCATGCCTAGGTGGGAATTCACCCTCTCCTACTCAGCCTCCTGACTTCAGACAATTCTCAGATCTCCCTAATTCTTAGTTTCCAAAACTATAAGACATAGGCAACAATGACACATACTTCATAAAGTTGTGGTACACATCAGATGAGATTATTCATGTAAATAGTCCTGGGCCTCTACTAAATGCACAACAAAGTTCAGCAGAGAGAGAGAGAGAGAGAGAGAGAGAGAGAGAGAGAGAGAGAGAGAGAGAGAAGGTCAATAGCTTTGTATCATGATTAAGGACATGGATGAGGCTAGACTTGAACTGACCTTGGTAGGCAGGGGGAGATAGTATGGGACACACGATGTGTTCTATGAGTCAGATTTTTGTCCCCACAACAAAATATCTGAGAAAATCAACTTAAAAAGAGGAAAAATTTGTTTGGACTCATAGTTCTAGAGGTTTCAGGCCCTAAGCAGTTGGCCCCAGTGCTTTGGGGTGTGTGGTGAGGCAGTAACTACACCACGGCAGGAGCACGTGGTGCAGGAAGAAGCTCACTTCGTGGCAGCCACAAGGCAGAGGGAGAGAAACGCTCCTTCAGGCTCCGCCACCTCCCCAAAGCACCTGCTGGACAAAGACTTCAACCCATGGCCCTTGGGGGACATTCAAGATGCAAATTGCAGCTCATGACTGGTGTTTGTAGGATTCCAGTGTCTGAATGCTCTGCAAACTGCAGTCATGTCCTGTTTATAAAAGCTGCCACCTCCGCCAAGACAGCTCCCTTGACTATAGAGTGCTGCTGGGCAGGCACTGTCCCAAGAGGCTGTGTCCTGGCCTTCCTCAGTGGGCTTCCCCAGAGCTGCAGTGGCTCCACAGTACAAGGTCTTCCACACATGATAGCCTCACCCCTCAGACCTTGTTTCCTTTTGCAAAACAGGGAGCACATAGAGTCCTCTGCTCTGTGTGGACCTTCGGAGTGAGCGTGCGTTTGTGAGAAGTGCAAGGTCGCCCTCCAAGCCCTCCATTTGCCATCTTGATGACCTGCCCCCTCCTAGTCCCGCTCCAAGGTAGACTTCATTAAATCCAATAATGAGTTTCCATTTGAGAAACATGTAGGGCACCAGTCGGCCCTGGGAATGCAGGAGTAAAACAGAAACGGTTCTGTCCTGAAACTTCTCTCTTGAATAGAGGAATCCCAAACATCAATGAAAATGACCAAAGGCAGCCCAGATTCTTCCTCCTCAGCCCTCCCAACACTCGCGCAGCCGCCTTGGGCACTTTCTAAGTACAAAGCACCAGCTTCATGAATCATTCAAACAATATTGCATCAGAGAAATGTGCCCAGGGCCACCCAACCACTGAACGGCCCAGTCAGAATTCAAACCCTGTCCCCCACCTTGAAACCGTCCTCCTGCAAACTAGTCCTATCATGGTCACACTCTTCTCTCCCGCCTCCCTGCCTCTCTCCGCCCACACTGTGGCCACCCAGGCCAGGGCCCCCATTTCCAACAGATGACTCAAATCCCCAGTGCCCTGGGCTCCCTGCAGTTCTCTTGTTAATTCTCAAACCTCCCCCAACCATGGTCGCTGGAGGGAGACTTCTCAAATGCAGACGTCATCATGTCGGTGCTACTGAAGACTCTTCAGTGGCCTTCCGAGGGCACAAGGAAAGGTCTAAGTTCCTTGATGTGCATCCAGAGCCCTCTCCGACCTTCCTGGGGAACCTTCTCCCGTGCCTCCCTGGCCCCTCCAGTTGAGAACACGAAACTGAAGTCAGCGCCCAC